GTCATCGCTTTCTTCAACTCCTTCAAGGCCTTGGTAGCTACTTTTCCCTAATTAAAATTATCCTTCTTTAGCTATTCGGTTAAAGGCTAGGCTATTAAACTGTATCCCTTCACGAATTTTCTGTAGTAGCATTTAAGCCCCAAGAACCCTCTTAACTCCCCCAAGCTCTTGGCTATTGGTCACCTCAGCATGGCCTCGATTTTGCTCTGGTCAGTTTCTACTCCTTCCTGTGATGCCATGTGCCCCAAAACTCCACTCTAGGCTGGGCAAATGAGCACTTCTTTAGATTAGCAAACAAGTGGTGGTACCACAGAGTGGATAACACAAATCCCAAGTGTTTTAAGTACTCCTTAATCCTTCTCTAAATCAAAATATCATCAAAAAGGACTGACACAAACCCTCGCAAATATGGTTGGTATATCCTGTTCATCAGGGACTGGAAAATAGCTGGAGCATTAGCGAGGCCAAAGGATATCACTAAAAACTCGGTGTCCCTTATGAGTCCTAAATGCTGCATCCTTGGGTCTCATTCGGATTTAATGGTACTCTGACTTTTGATCAATTTTCTAGAAAAGCACCGCTCTATACTCATTTTGTAACTCATCAATCACTGGAATATAAATCTTGTCTGACATAATTTCCTTAGTCAACGCTCGATAGTTGATGCAAAATCTCTAACTGTCATCTTTCTTTTTCACTAATAGCGTTGGATTAGAAAATAGACTGACATTGGGTTGAATGATCCTTGCCTCTAACATCTCTCTGATTAATCCTCGATCTCATCTTATTGGATTTGGGGATAATGATACAGACGAACACTAACAGGCGAGTCTCCTTCTTTCAAGATGATAACATGCTCATGTTCTCGCGGAGGAAGCAACCCTTGAAATGGTTGGAACGCCTCTCGATATTGTTGTAGTAATGGTTGAACTATGTCTGGTGCTCTTTCTTCTCCCCATCCTATTCTCTTTCCAAATCTCGCAGCTCCACCAAGAATTCCACTCCACTTTGGATTGCCCTCATAATGATTTTGAGTGAAACCATAATTTTGGACAAGCTAGGATCCCTTCTAATAACCACTCTCCTTCCCTCAACCTTGAACACCATTGTTAGAGCCTTCCAATCAATCTTGGTATTCCCCAACTTTTGCAGCCACTTCATTTGCAGTATCACATTTATGCTCCCCAAATCCAATGACAGAAAGTCTTCCAATACCTGAACATTTGGAAGGTTTAGGATCACCCCTTTGTAAATTCCTTTACTCTCTACTTTTCTTGTTCCCAACATAACCCCAAAACTCCCCATGTCCACTAATTTCAGTCCCAACTGATCCACCATCCTGTTGGAAATGACTTTGTGGGTAGCTCTACTATCTACTAGTACTACCACCTCCTGATGTCCTATTTTCTCCTTAACCTTCATGGTGTGGTTCGGTTTCAACTCGACCACTGAGTTAAGGGATACCTCTGTAGCATTTAAGTGTAGGTGATCGTCTTCCTCCTCTATAGCATCTTCCTCTTCATCGTAGACTATTAAGACCTATAACGAATGGTCCTTACAACGGTAGCCTGGAGTGAACTTCTCATCACATCTAAAGTATAAATCCTGGGCTCTTTTCTTCTAAATTTATGACTCAGCCAGCCTCTTGATTTACCCCTTAGTCGTACTCCTTGGCATTGATCGCCATGGCTCCAACAGCTTCTTCATCCTCCAGTGTAGTGGGTGTTGTGATCCCTCCATATTTCCCTCTCCCCCAAATCAGCTCTCCACTATTCGCCATCCCAATTTCTTTGCCACTCATACCCTTCACGTGTTGCCCTCCTTGGAAGTTGCTTCAAAGGTGGCATCTCTTCTTCTTTCTCCAAAATTTCACCTCATGGTCCTCCCTCATCATCCCTATTCAAAAAATTGTCCTCAATTACTGAAATTTGCTCTCTGAATTCAGATTTTTAACTTCCCCATCAAGCCTCTCCAATGTATCAACCTTCTTACTCATCATAGTTCCTGAAAAAGGTGCTTTGATACTATTTTGATAGGAATATGATTTTCACATAGCCAAAAAAATAACATTAATGAAGAGAAAACACAGTAGAAATCAGCAAGAAATAATGAGATTATAGGCTAATTCTTTTTATATCGGCAAAACAAATCAAGATACAACAAGTTAATATACTATTTGAGAGGTAGATTTACTCTCCACAAACCCTAGGCGTCGTTAGGAACAACTCCAAAGAAAATTACTGCAAAACATATAATCACATAATGAAATGAGAAAACTTAATTAATCCTAAATAAACCTTCATAATTCCCTCCCAATCAGCCCTCTTTTCCTAATTAAACATCCATAATTCCTTCTTAAATATGAATTCAAATCAGCTCTCTCTTTCCCTTAATAGACATTCCTAATTTCTTTCCAATTTTGATTTTCTATAGTAAGTAATTAAAGGTAGAATTAATCCCCTTTGAGCCCCCCTCTCTCCTTGCCCGCCGCCCACACTAGTAGGGCCCACAGGGCTTTTTTGCCTCACTAGCTAGACCTGCCCCCCTTGTTGATCGGCTTAGCCAGTCCATCATATCCTTTAGCATTTTGTACAATCAATTTTTAGGACTTGTGCATATGAATGAATTGTCTTATACTTGTATTTGAAGAAACATAGGAAATATATACTATGTATTAAGAAAATTATTTAGGTCATAATTGTGTTTTGTTTTATTTTTTTTAAGAGAGAGGGCATTCTGATTATATTTTATCCGGGATGAAGGCCATCTTTTCCCTTGCATTTTACAAGGAAAGAGACGCAGTCATTATAACGCGCTGACAAGATCAAGATATTCATGCTAAGTTTCTTTCTTTTTGTTCTTCAGTTTGAGGTTATTGAAAGTAGTTTAGAGGTAGGGAATTTCTGCAAATAATGTTGGTTTGTTGTTTCTAAGAATTCCTGCTTTATGCTTTTTGTTCTTTGTTTACGGACTACTAAATAAACTGTATGCATTTTAGCTATAAGAATATTTTTCCATTATTTTCTTGAAATTCTTCCTAGCAATAAATCATGTGTTTTATGGCCACCTTCAATAATTCCATGTACTTGACAATTAAACTTGTTTTTATAATTGGATTTAAAATTAAAGTCATTTTGCCCCAGTCTTTCATGGTCCACATTAAACTTATTGGCGGTTACGTTGGCTTATTTATGCTGAAAATTCCAACTTGGGGTTGGTTGGCTTTCACCCTGCAGATCTGGCTACACCTTTCTCATGAAATCAACGTCGGTATCTTGGTGTAGCAATAGAACTTCACTCTGATCAACAAAAGAAGGGCATCAACTTTTAATCCTTATCATGTTGGTAAGATTGCTTTAAGACTTGGAATCAAAATTCATGATCATTTAAAAGTATGATGCCAGGCTCAGCGTTACTTAGTAGTCTGGTAGGCCATTGCGTGCATCATGTGTCTAATACTAACATGTTTTCTGGTAGCCTATGCATTCCTGTTTGGGGTATATTGTATTCAATATCTGTATGAATATGCATGTCCTTGACCTATAGTAGAGCGAAAATTTCGATTTTTTCAGATCATGTGAGTGTTAATTTCTTCATCTGCAATCTATGTGCTTAGTTAGGAATGTGATTGTTTTTAGCAAGTGGCTATTTTTCTTGGTTTTTTTTTTGTACTACCACAACTTCATGTGGACATTGATTATTTTTTGTCATCGAATACCTACCATTTGAGTTGCGAGATAATTTTCTGGAAGAGGACAATTTGTTTCTGCCATAGTGCCATTTGATTGTTCTTTTTTCAAGATTTTAATGATTCATGCCTAAAATTTTGCTTTTGTCAACCGAAACCATGTGCTATTGATGAAATAACATGAATTTAGTTATTGTTTAGAATTTTTTTGAAATATGTAGTAGTCCCATTAAAAGCTTTACTTTTTTAGGGATTGTGGATATCCAAGAACTTTAAGGACTTCATTAATTAGATCTCTACTGAAATCCTGATCTTATTGGCTCTTTCTCAGTAATTCTTTTTAAGCCCATTTTTATAAATATCACTGCAACTTTAATATTATCTGAGATCCTATAGCAGCACTGTCTTATATTTGTTTGAAAGTATCAAGCCATCAATTCTATTTGATGTAGATTTTTATCTCTGGCGGTCATGCATCATCGTCGCTACTCAATTTGAAAGGGAGAATAGAAAAGAAAACTGTTAGAGGTTGTTTATGCAATCAGCTTCTGATTATTTTCACTGGTTTCTTTTGGCTTATGTATTCAGAGTGCAAATGCATTGTTCTAAATTGATTCTTGAGGCATGGTACACTCTACAGCTTGTGAGAACCTGCCCTCAGAGCATTGTAAGTCCTGCTGATGGTGTAAAGCTTCAATTTGAAATCCTGCCAGTTGATGAATAACTAAAGTGCTTTTTGTTTACCTAGAAACAAAGTTAGCCTACAATTCTTGATCCTCCATGATTGAATGTTTAAAAGGTCGTTTCTCATTCTCGTCAGTTTCATAACCTTGTTGTATGCTTGTCCTGCTGTCAAGTATTAGGGTTTTTTTTTTTGGAGTGCAATCAGCAAATTCTAATGTCACAAGTACTTAATGATTCAAATTTATTTTTCATCTAATCCTTTACATAAATCTACTCGGGCTTCCATTCTATCTGATAATTAAGCTCTGGTGATCATTTAATATCATTTATTTTTATTGGATATAGAACTGACCCTGCGCGTATCTGTTTATGTTTCTGTTTTACTTAATTGCTGATGCCATGTTATGTTTCATATTTCTTGAACATGTATTTCCTTTCTCCCTTTAATTTTGATCAATCTTCTGTGTTCTTCTTATTTGTATGTGTTATTACTTCAGATTTATAGACTTTTCCTTGTCATCTGGATTTAGACCCAGATTTTATTTCTTGGATTCTCAAATATATTTGGAATCCTTTGAACACTTAGGTTCTTTGAATTATCATAATGACTGTTTTCTTCTGCCTGTAGCCTCCCGTACGACAATCATCACACTCCAGCACAACCCATCCGCCCCATGGGCCTGCTCCCGTAACTCAATGGAGTCATACCCCGACAGCACCAGCTCAGCAGACAGTTGGCTATAGTCATCAGCAGATAGGTATGTATCCGCCTCAGACAACTCAATATCCTCAAACCTACAATAGCTATACTCAGGAACCTCCTACAAGAGGTGCATATGGCTCAAGCTGGGATCAACAAAGGCCTCCAGCTGGTCCTATGCAGTCTACCCCTCAACAGCCAGGTGGCTACGATTACTATAACCAAGGTGGATTTGTCCGTAACAACCAACCACCAAATCCATTGCCTGGATCTGTTCCAGCTTCAACACCAGCTCCTATGAACTACAACTATGCGCAGTCGCAATCTTCAGATGTTTATGGAAATTCAGCACCCTTTACTCAGCCTCCACCTGCACAGCAGAAATATGGATATGGCTATAATGAACCCACTTATGACAACCAGCCACCTGGCCCGCAAATGTACGGTCAGCAGCAGTCCATTGGTTCACAGCCTGGAATGTATGGACAACAATCATCCATACCTTATGGCAAGCCGGCATATAGTGAGCTTCCTCCTTCATATGCCCCAGCTCCAGCTCGACCATCCCAGCCCGAAGAACTGATGTATCAAGGTGCTCCACCAGCGCAACAGCCATATCCATACACTTCAAATGCTCCAACACAACAGGCTCCTTACACTCAGACCTATGCAACTGCCAATGGATACTCGCAGCAGCCGCCACCGTCTGGTGGTTATCCTCAACAACATGCTCCAGTATATGGCCAAGGTGGACAAGCAGTGCCTGCTCCATATGGTCAATCTGTTCCTCAGTCTAGTGGTTACAGTCAGTACCCTTCCTCCTCTCAGCCAAGCTATGATCAGACCGCTCAAAGCAATGTGAACTATGGGTACCAGGGGGCTACGACGGATGCAGCATATATAGGAAATGCACCCAACTCCGGTTATGCCGCTCAGCAACCTATTAGCAACCAGCTTGGCTATTCTCAGCCTCCAGCCAATCCATCAGGTTATTATGATCAGTCGATGCCTCAACAACCAGGTGGTTATGCTGTTCCTGGTGCTCCAGTTGGTTATGCTAAGAGCGTCTCTCCACAGCCAGGATATGGCGGTCAGTACGATTCTGCTCAAATTTATGGTCAACACTAATACCGTTTAAGGGCTCATACCAAGTAAGGATATATATATTTGTAGTCACTATCGTCATCATGGATTTTAATTTTCTTCTTATTTTAAGTGTTAGCGTTCGTAGCAGTTGGAAGTCGGAAGTTGTATTGTCTTAATATTTTGGTATTTCTGCTACTAGAATGGTTTATGGTGATTTGGTCAAGGCTTCAAGATGTGCTTGCGCAGCCAACGTTTGATGAACGAGTTCCTGTCTTAGCTGAACACTGTGTTGGGTCATTCGAGTGAAGCTTCTATATTACTAGTTATTATGCCTTGGTCATTCGCTGTGAGCTGATTTGTTGGAAATTTAGTTGCCTATGGGCTATTCAAATTACTATAGATGGGCATTAATGGCTTCATTGTCGAAGATTTATGCTTTTATATGATAGATCAGGTCAACATAGGTGTGGACTCACATCAATGATGAATAGAAAGACCTAAGATGAGGACCCCTCTTGATAGCTACAGATCTACTCCTAGGATTTAGTTAGCTGCGTTGATAAGATTAACAACTTGGTGCAGTAGGAGTCCTTGTTCGATGGCATGGGGGTTCTATACAGATTGTTTTAAGCTAAACGAACCTAACTAGCAGTTGATCTAAAGGGAAGAAGGTCCTTTTACATTTTATTGACGTTGGCTACTGAATCCCTTACAGGAGCTCAAAATTTTTATTCTAGGACTCCATCTTACGAATAGATTCTTCTAGGGATAGATATGATATACGTTCATCAGTAGGGTTACACATGTTATAGTAGAAAGAAGTGGAATGGCAAGTGACGTAGAAAGAGGCTCCGTTGTTATAATTATTACACCTGTTGATCATCAAGCAAGTGTTTATAAGGCTTATAATGGTGGGATTGGTTCCCGGCCATAAATTGTGACAAAATATTATATGATAAAAAAATTTATGATAATAGAGAGAGAATGTTTTGCATCCTATCTTTGAGCGAAGGTCCCATAAAAAAACATATGAATAAAAAATAGGGGTGAAAATATAGTTTTAGCATGAAAAACTTGGAAATAGAGAAATTAAAGTGTCTATCCCAGCTGTGAAATAATTTCACTACATGAGCGTTGATCATAATGATTTTCTCATCCTCCTATTTAGAGAATATGATATTATAAGAGCATGAATGGTTAGTGGAAAATACTTCATAGTCGATGGATGATGAGACGTGTTTGGATGGTTTGGATGGTTTAGGCCAACGGATGGAAGCCAAACACAATAAGTTATGGGATGATGATCTAATGTGATTATCTGATAATGAAAATAATCTTTTAATTTTGATTGGGTGCCGAAAATATGTGATAATGGTTTAGCGATGGTAGTCTGATGGTGGTGATATACTGTGATGGTGGTGGTCTGATGGCCAGGTTAGGTGGCAATAGTCCAACAATGGTGGTTGAGTATTGACAGTCAAATAGCATTGATTAGGTGATGAGGGTGTTCCAATGATGGTGGTTAAGCGATTGTGGTTTGATGATGGTGGCTAGGTGGTAGTGGTCAAATAACGGTGGCCAGATAGTGGCATTTTGAAGCCTATGATCTAACAATAGTGATGGTTAAACAAAGATAGTTGTGGGGTGCCGATGATGGAAATTATTAGGTGGTGGTCCAATGGTGGTGATCTAGTGATCTGACATCATTAGTTGGGTAATGGCGCTCAAGTAGAGATCTGGATTCTTCACATTTTTATCTCACTAGAATCTCAAGCCAAGGGTTCCTCATGTAGAGACTGGGGTGTCATTTATAGATTTTAAGATTAGCACGCCCCATAACTATAGTTAAAACATGGAATAATCTCAAGCCAAGGGTTCCTCATGTAGAGACTGGGGTGTCATTTATAGATTTTAAGATTAGCACGCCCCATAACTATAGTAAAAACGTGGAATAATCTCAAGCCAAGGGTTCCTCATGTAGAGACTGGGGTGTCATTTATAGATTTTAAGATTAGCATGCCCCATAACTATAGTAAAAAATGGAACAATCCATTAGACTACCCGTATTAATTTTCTTGATCATAAATCATTTGATCAATATTTGCATGCTTTCATGATACCAAAATTAAGCTATTTTAGGCTGGTTGGATTCTCCTCATTGAGATGCTTGATTTGATTATATACATTCCAAATTTGTAGACAATGTTTAAAATTGTGTAATCGGGTATTGAGGCATTTTTTGTTCGTGAGGCGAGGCGTAAGTCTCAAAATAAATAAATTGCGTAAGCATAAATGATAAATTTTGTATATACTAATGAGTAAATAATATATAAAACATAAAAATACCCAAAATATGAATTGAAATCAAAATATCCCAATAATAAGACAACATGAATACAATAATATACCGGTATGCCAGGGGTCCAAGGGGGCGCTTCCCCCTGATGGGGTTCAACTTGAAGTAATTTTGAAGTTCTGCTTGTTTTTAAAATTTGTATGTTATTTGTATGGAAAGATACCGAGCGGTACCAAGCATGTACCGAGCAGTACCAAGCATGTACCGAGTAGTACCGAGCATGTACCGAGCGGTACCGAGCATGTACCGAGCAGTACCGAGCATGTGCCTAGCGATACCTAGCGGTACCGAGAATGTACATTAGCTTCTTTTTTTTTTTAGAGGCAGACGCCTCTCAACTGTGAGGCGAGGCGCGCCTCAGTAGATTTGAGGCATACACCTCAAATCATGAACTCATTGCGTGAGCTTTGAGGCTTAAAGGGGAGAAATTGTGCTGCGCGCATCTTATTGCGCAACTTTAAACCATGTTTGTAGATTAGTTGGTTTTCTAATTATTATCCAAAGGTTCCGAAAATGCTTTAAGTGCTTGATCTAGACTTATTTGGACTCGGATTTGATCACTTTTAGTGTCATTAGATTTGTTTGTCATACAGATTAGTTTGAATACAAGTTTGATGAAATTGGAGTTTGTATGATTTTGAGCTAAATTTTGTAAGTCCATCCATCAATTTGCTTCCATATTTGTTTCCAATTATGGTGGTTTCTATGTGACATATCAAGAATGATAATATGACAGAAAATCATGATAATCTACTTATTTCAAATTTAATATGTATTATTTTTTTTTTCAAATATATCATAATATAATTATCATATATAATAATTTATCAAATTTATTCTTATGAATTAAATTATAAATATCATTATAATTGAGATGTCACCAAAAAATAGTCTTGATCCAGCACGAATCTCGAGGCAAAATCAGTTCAGAAACTTCAAAAAATAAATCTGCTGTTGCACCACCGCCGTAGGTCTGCCACACCACTGCTGGACCACTAAGGGATTCCGGAGTGCTATCGCACCACCACCGGACTACCAAGCTAGGGACGCCGGAGTGCTGTCGCACCACCGCCGTAGTCTTGCCACACCACCGCCAGACCACCAAGGGTCGCTGGACTGCTGTCGCAACACCGCCGTAGTTCTACCAAACCACCGACGGACCACCAAGTGACGCCGAAGTGCCATCCGAAGCTGAACTATCCCCTGACACTAAAGTGCCACTACCAATCCACCGCCTGACACTGGAGTGCCGCCGGACCACCACCTGACAATGGAGTGACATTGAACTTTTGTAAAACTCTCTGTTGATATCTTTAATCTGGTCGTCTTCAAGGACGAGTCAGACCATTGTATTTTCCTCAAATTTTAGTGGAATCATCTTCAACTGGGCTAGGCCCCGTGGTTTTTTCCCTTTTCGGGTTTTCCACGTAAAAAATATTGTGTTCTTTGTGTGTGAGCTGGATATCCGTGCAACGCTAAGACGTAGAATTATAACTCTATCGCCGCGTATATTCTAGCCTGCAACAATAATAATTCATGATATTATCATTTTGGTATGAGTTAATACAATTTATATTAAAATTGTGATTTTATATGCTTCATAATACAAAAATATGCTTTTTATTTGTTTTAATGGGTAAGTATGCTTGGAAGTTTATGAGAGATATCATAGTCAAATAACAATGGCCGGGAGATCATAGTCCGTCAATAGTGATAAGAGATCATCCTGGTCAAGTAATGTCCGGAGGTCGTACTCACATGACTACGGGTTGGAGACTGTGGTCGCATGATGGTGGGTAGGAGATTGTGGCTATGCAATCTTGGTTAGGAGATCACGATCATGTGATAGTGTTTGGGAGACTGAGTTGGGTGATATGTTGGGGATGGAAGGAAGACACACAATGAAACAAATAAGTAAAATGGCACCTGAACTTAACGTGGAAAAGCCTGAAATCGGGAAAAAATTATGGAGTCACACCATACCAAGAAATTAACTATAAAAATTTAGAGAAATTTTATAGACCTCTCTTCTCTCTCGCTCTTTCCTTGCTACCCTTCATTCTTACATCGTTATACACTTAGAACAAATAAAGAGTTAAAATACAATCACCAAGGACGCCACCCTTAAGAAAATCAAGAAATAAAAACTGCCCATCCGGCCTTGCGTCATTGTGGCGCCAGTTTGGAGCCCTACGACACTCACCTTTGTCATTTCATTTGTCTGACGGCACTGTAGCATTGAATATACAACGATGCAACAATATGCTCTCTGTTGATTTTGCAGAAAATTGTCCAGTGAACAATGCAGCATCGGGGCTTAGGTAAACAATGATGGGGCGTTGTATGAAAAAAACAGGTGCAAATCACCAGTACCCAAGCAGGGGGAGGGACCCCCGCACCATCTCAACAAGCATGAACAACTGAGTTGATATCCATGACAATAGTTTAACTTGATTGATCAACACAATTAGATTCAACACAAACTAACATAATAATCATTAGGAGACGATGGCTAAGGAACTATAGTTAGACAACAATGTTTGAGAGATCATGGTTGGGCAACAATTGTGTAGGGATTGTAGTCATCTGATAGTGGTTGGAGAACTGTAGTTGGGGGATGGTCAAAAGACTATAGTTGTGCCATAGTGGCTGAGAGATGTAGTTGGATGATGGTGATTAAAGGACCATAGTTAGAAAATGGTGGTCAATAAACTATATGTAGGTAATGATAGTCAAATAACTGTAGTCGAGTGATGGTTACTAGAGGACTATTGTTGGGTGATGTTGGTTGGAGGACCATAGTTGAGCGATGGTAGTCAAATGATAGTAGTCAGGAGATGATGAAAATGGTAGTCGTATAACTGTAGTCGGGCGACTATGATAAGAAGATTTTATTCGGTCAACGACGATCAAGAAATGAAATAAGTGGCAATGGTTGGAGGACTCTAATCAGATGATGATATTCAAAGGACGATAGTCAGA